TGGTGTGTTTGCTGCAAAGAGCACAAATTTGCTTTTCTTCACAAATGGCACCCAGCACCAGAGCCTGTTTCTCTGACTGTAGGGTTCCTGGGAGCCTCCTCATCCTGGCCTGCGGGATGTGCTTAGTGAACTGGGGAGTGTGACCTGAGAYCTGCCTTGTTCTCCTTGGTGTTGACATAGCCCTGGGCAGGTAGGACAGGACGAGTGACCTCTTCTCCTTCTCCAGCTATGAGACCACTTCCAGCGAGGAGACCAGTGGTGAGGACAGCTCTCCAGAGGACTTGTCTGACAGCGAGGCTGAGAAGAAATGTGGTGGCCCAGAACACAGGCAGGGCAAAGATGCCACCAGCTGCGAGGCTGGACAGGATGTCCCTGAGGGCACTGACAGCACAGGCCAGGAAAGCGGGTTTGGGGAAGAAGCCCCCCATCCCAAGGCTGAGAGGTGAGTCAGATGGGTGCAGAGGGGGCTGCCATTCCTCTGGTGAGGGGCGAGGGCATGCACTCACCCTTCCATCCGGTCATTGGGTCATTTGTTGATCCACCCGTTGGGCAGAGTTTGTTGAGTTTTCTTSCAGGCTGGGCTCTGGGCAGTGGCTGAACTAAACAGACATGACTCCTGGAATATTCTGTCATAGGTAGAGCTCTGCGGATAAAGCCAACATTCACCTAGCCCTGGAAATGTGATGGATGGACAAGTATTATTTTATATAAGCCTTTTCACGGTCCTGCAAGGCAGCCATCTCTATGATCCCCACTTTACAGGAGTGGAGATGGAGGCTGTGGAGGGAAGTGATGCTCTAGCAGAGCAGTTTGGACCTGCTGGTTCTGACCCATACACTTCTCTGCCTCTCTTGTTGGCCAGGTGACACCACCCTGTAAAGTGATGGGAGGCACGTGATGTGACTGGGGGTGGGGGGGAGAGAGAGAGAGAGAAGGAAGGTGGGGGAGAAGGAGAAAGGAGAGGGGGAGWCTTTCTTTTCCTGACTTGGAAAAGAAAGTGATCAGAGGCCATGCCTTTGGAGCTGACCACACCTTGATCCAAGAACTGCCTCTGCCATGGTGTTCTTTGGCAAGGTCCTTAAGCTGGGGTCACCKCCCTTTCCTTATCTGAAAAAATGTGGATAATAGTGACCTCTTAGATTTGATCTGAGAATTGTGTGAGAAAAAGCACTAACGTGCCTCACACAGTTCCTGTCATGGAATGGGCTCCCGATGAGCGTAGCAATAGCTGAGTCAGGACCACCACCTGCAGCCTGCTGCTGGGGGAATGCTGAGCAGCAACAGAGGCTGGTTTGTGAGCAGGTGCACAGGGTGCTCTGTCTGGCAGCCCAATGAGACTGTGCTGAGCAAGCAGGCGTGGTGGCACACACCTGCAATCCCAGCTGTTTGGTAGGCTGAGGCAGGAGGATCTCAAGTTCCAGGTCAACCTGGGCAAAAAATAAAAAGGTCTGAGGTGGCAATTTGATGGTAGAGCGCCCCTGGGTTCTGTTCCCAGTACTGCAAAAAATTAAAAATAAATAAAAGTGAGTGGGCTCTCAGGGACTGGTGCCATTAGAGGCCACTGGGGCCTGTGTGCGTGTCGCTGTGGCACCCAGTGTCAGTGATTCTCATTTTATGAACTCTTAGCCCTTGTAGTTCCTTCATGGAAGAAGGACCTGAAGAGATTTGCTGCTATGTGTTGGGTTCGTTGGATTTTTTTTTTTTTCTAGTCCACCCAGGAAGAAAAATTTCATCCAGAGTCAGAACAGCAGCCCTCAGTCCCCAGTGAGTTGAGCCCACAGCCTCTGAAACTTGGTTTATCTGTTCCAACAAGAGCAGGATGCAAAGGCTCTTCAGAGCCACATCAGCAGGGTGCTGTGATCACCCCACACTTCTGAGGAATGTTCCCTATCCTGGGGGAGTTACCAGGTTTGGGTGTTTGTGTTGCTGAGAAGTGAAAGAGGAAAATGAGAGTCGTTTTTTATCAATGTGGAGAATGATTACATAAATATGCTTCTCTGTGTGTGTGTCTGTGTGTGTGTGTGTATATATATCACACACACACAGACACACCATATGTGTGTGTGTTTGTTTTCTTTAGATATAAACCCTCAGAAGAATTTCTTAACGCATGCCGAGCATTGAGCCAGTATCTRCCGGAAACTGGGACCACCACCGACCAGCTCTTGGTACTCTGATTTTCCGTTGTTGTGTAAAGATTTCCGACTAGGGTGACTTTGGCCCCTTGCCTTATGCTGGGGTGTGAGTGTGCACACAGGAGTCCCTGTCCTCAGGGAATTCTGTCATTTACCCAAATGCTGCCACCCAAAATGATGCATTATGCTGAGGATGTGGAAGGATCAATCTGCATGAGGAAGTAGGTCAGGGGCTCAGAGGCATTTACCAAGGGAGATTCGGCATGGCCACCCGAGTGTCTGTCACCAAAGTGTTTGTGGCTGAGGCTCAAACCTCTGCCCTGAGGTTG